AAAGTCTCTGAGAGTAGGATTATACAGATAGTCACAGCTACCACTGAAAATCACGATTTATCTTGGTAAATAGTGTATAATATATTTATATTGTCAAAATAATATTCGTCACTAATGACAGTAAATTTCCATATTATCCAACTGTTACTGTCAAAGTTAGGAATGTCAAACAATTTTGCCATTGGGTTCGAATTATTCATCATTTAAAATGGATATGATCCTTTGCAACATTTCAATTGGGCATAATAATCTAAATATATAAATGCATATACTCCCATGATCCCATCATATCTACTTACCGATAGTTTTAATTGTTCCTTTTGAATTTCAAGTAACGATAACAAACTGGACCATCCATTCTCTCGATTGTATACCACAATTGCGTTAGTGTCCATAAAATCAACACTTTATTGCTGGGCATTTGATATGCTTCACGAAAATATTTGTTCTCGGAATCTAAATAGGGCTTTAAAGTTACATACATGTAGTAAGGTTGTTTGAAGAAGATGTGGATAATAAAATATTCTTTGAGTACAGTAAATTTCCATCTTTTTATGCAATAGTAATTTTGTTACCTCTTTACTGCTTGCAATCGTAGTTCTCATTCCAAACATTAAGAGAAATCGAAAGAATTATTCTTAACTTGTTTGAGAAAAGGGAATGTCTAAATGAAATCGAAATAGGACGTTAATCAAACAGCAATCAATCAGAAAGAAAGATATAATGTTTCAGTAAGGGACAACACGTGCTTTATAAAAGACAATCAGACTAAAACTAAACATTTAGAAACTGAATTCATTTAGATGTAGGATTTTTTTTTTATTGACAACACATTTTCATTTCTTTAAAGGAATATTTAAGTGCAGTCTTTCTGTGGGGGTTAACTAACTATCTTAACTAATACGATATTCCTGTAATGACATTTCATTTCATCGAGGGTTGCATTATATGTATTAATTGGAGAATTTTGGTAGATACTGGTAGAATTTTCTGTGACAGTATTGGTTAATATTGTAATGTTTGCTTTTGATTTGTCTTTTCATATTCTAGGGAAAAGAGATTTGCCTTGTAATTTGTTTTATAAACCCTATGTTTGTCCCTTCATCGATTTTTAGGAGGAAGAGGATTGAGATCTTTGTTGTAACGCTCATACAAATATTTTTTTATTTTCCGACAACATACACATATTGTATATGTATACACCTCTTTAACTAAAATCAAACCATTAGTGAAAGTAGTAAGGATATAATAAGGTTGGCCGGTCAATACATATAGCAATCAACGGAGTGCCGTTTTCCTTGTAAATAACGAACTATTTGTTATAGTGTTTATGCCTCAAGGAATTGAAGCTCCATTTTTTCTATTTTCTTTTTTAAATTTACCATTTTGATTTCGTCATGTGTTGCCATATGTTCATAATGGTCGAAATGTTTTTTTTTTCTTTTCATATTTGTTTATCAGAGTTTTTGGTACTCGGATTATTAAAGCGTTTGTACAATTAGTACATGTACAAGTAAAATGTTCCTTGCTTACAAAAAGATAGGTTAACCTCGGGTTTAAATTACAACAGAACAGAAATCCCTCTAATAAATACATACATAACTATGTTATTTTGCAAATTTAGGGGTTGTTGGGGTCTTTGCATGACCTTGAATGGTCAAAAAAGTTATGAAAGAAATGTAGATGGCCATAGAAAAGAAAGACAGAAATTACCAATGATCTCATTAAAATAGTTTTGTGTGATATCAGTACTGTCTCTACTCTTCGTCAAACAAGGAACAAAGCATTTATGACTAAATAGTAAAACAGATTTAAAGAGAACCCAAAAAACACAAAATTGATGTCACATTAAATATATTACATTTGAGAAAGGACGTTTACGAAATACCAATTGGTCAATTAATACCAATTGGTTAATTACTCATAATACTGAAGGTAACCTATTGTTGTTTTCATCCGCATTATTTGGTCTCTGGAGGTTTGATAATTTACTGACAATCATACAAAATATACCCATTTTATTCATAAAAACTCTTTACCGTTCAAACGTGTGCAGACTTAAGGTTTCTTCAGCGATTTTGTTAAGGCATTTCCACTTTTTCTATTTTACTGGGTGTAAATTGACATGCCAGATTGTGCACGCATAGCGCGAGACACTCACCCGGTCGATCTGTCCTGCTTTTGAGTTCATGCAATTTTCTCAGTTTTTGTTTGTTACCTTTATTTATATAGTCTATATTGAGAATTGAACACCGCTTAACTACCGGGGCCTTAAATTATGTGTCGCTAATTATAAAGAAAGCACATTGTTCATTCTATATATGCAGTAGTTAAGAAAAAAAAAAATTTGAAAAACGCCGGATATTATTTTTATTTTAAGGGTAAATATTATAAATTATGACATATAATGCGACAGAACATGCTTCAATCCTTTACTGACAATGAAAATTTTGAAATAATTCATATTTCAGTATATCAAGTGTACAAGCTTCATTGTTTGGTATCTATTTCTATCGAAATGATTTTTAAAATTAATTGTAAGAAATAATAGGAGGGTAATCAATTACGAATACAAAGGAGAAACGTGATAACAATAGGCAAAAATGAATTATCATTGTCCTATGACACATAAATTGAGAACATTACCGATAAAAATTTAATCATTTGTTACAAACCTTAAAATAACATTGACTTAAGAACAGTCTTACTTAATAGATTATGTTTTGTTTTGTGAAAGCTAATAATAAAGTTGAGAATGGAAATGGGGAACATGTCAAAAAAAGAGGGACGAAAGATACCAGAGGGACAGTCAATCAAAGAGACAACATCCCGACCAAAGAGCAGACAAATAAGTAAACTGTTTGATTAATCTGCTAACATTCCCAGACAGGTATAACCAGCATTGTAGTCAAAATACAGAGTTGAAAGTTGGTCTGTATACTATGAATTCAATTGATTAGCCAATATTTCTTTAACAAAGGAAACTAGATAAGTCTGTTGTAAGGTACATGTAGTCGTGTCCACCAAGCATATTGACGTCAAACTGATTACGAAGCAGGATCTGATTACCCTCCGGAGCACCTTAGATCACCTTGGGTTCGTGTTGCTTAGTCTTTAGTTTTTCTATGTTGTGTCTGGGTAGTATTATTTGTGTGTTTGTATTTTTTCTTTTTTATCCCTGGCGTTGTCAGTTCTTTCGATATATGAGTTTGAATGTATCTTTCGCCACTCTTTTACGATATATATAAAGCTAATAGAATATAAAGCAAATTAATAAAAAATAATGAATAAGTAAAGTATTTCAATTGGTAAAACAATAAAGTGATTGATAAAAAAATGAAAACAACACGTTAAATAATTTTATGCGTCAGAAGCGCTTTACTGGATTTACCTTCATCCGGAACGGTCAAATGAGTCAATAATTGGCAACATCTTTATCTACAATGTTTGAAACAGATAAGCATAAAGATAAGAAATTCCTTTCAGTGACAATAAAGATAAGAGACAACAACGTTTAATGGAAACCATAAGGTGCTATTGTAAGTTAAAATTTGTTCATTTTCAATTTGAATTTTTCATATCTATAAAATTGAATTTTAAATTTCAAGTAATCATGGATCATTGAAGCTTAGAACAAGATCTGTTTTACATTTCTTTATCGTCCTATATTGTACATAACGGTTTTCAATATTTTAAATAAGATAAGGAAATATTCATTGCATTCCTTTCTACGCTGATTATTTTAGTATATAAAGAAAATTGATTTCAGGTGCTCGGCCAATGCAATGTACGTTCGTTACAAGATAGCAAGGACACAGAAGCTAGTTTTGTATACATTTCCCATTTCCCATTCACCCCAAATAACCTTGTATATTATTGCTTCCACAGTTCGTATCGACCTGTGAACTTTGATGCATTTATGTTAGTCTGATCGTAGATATCTTAAATATGTAATACCAAATGCAATCATGTACTACCCTATACTGCGTACAATATATAATTAAAAAATTGGAGGAGTAAATCGATGGTAAATATTAAAGCATTGTTAATTTATGTCGAAGACAAAATGATTATTTCTTTGAAGTCGGGCGATTATTAAATTTGACCAGAGTTTTTGCTTTTCATGCATACATGAGAGAACTAATAAGTTTTTTTGGGGGGTGGGGTGGGGGGGGGGGAGGTATTTATTTCGAGTGGATGTGCTCATAGTATTGTATTCACCAACTACACATAATTACATGAAACTGGATTGTTTTAAGTATTTTTTTTTTTAATAATAACATTTACTGGTAAATGTTCAGTTGATGAGTTATGTGATTGAACTAATTATAGGATGAGGCAAATACGTGATTGATCATTTGGATGTTATGTAAAACTTGTTATTAGGTTTGAATAACACAGCTGTTTTTATGGCATTTTGATTTTAAATCTTTTGTCTTGAGTGTAATGAATGAAAGTTGATACAATGCTTTACGCGCAGAATAATCCGTAGCATACGTTTAGCTTTGAAAAACCAAGTTGTCTATTTAGAATATCTTTTATTCAAATCAATAGCAAGAAGTCTAGGTATTTTACATTGCATGAACATTAAAAGTTTGAGTATTTTGTAAGAATGTTTGATTTACCTTTGACATTAAGATTGACAACTAAAAACGATCGATATATAGATATTTAATCTGTATACATGGATATAATGAGACAGTCATCTGTTTGAATTTTCCTTTGAGCTCAGTAGTTTTGCTATTTTAACTTGAAACTTCACAATTCGACAAGACCGACAAACGGTAAAGATATACTAAACCTTTCATTGATAACTATTTGCAAAACAAACTCCACAACAAAGAGGTGATAATAGACGCACCAAACGAGCAACTATATATTACTCCACATGTGGCACCAATAGGATTTACACGAAAAGTTCACGTATGGTGTTTAGTCTCATACGATGAGTCATTATTGAGATAAAGTGGATGCCCGAAGGGATACAATTATTGAATCATATGCATGCATCTGTGACAAAGATAGTTCATAAAGGTAAACAAAATCACAAAGGTGCCCGTAAATCTTCCAAAAAGATGACTTTAACTTCACCACTAGGAATCCTATCCATATATGCATGCATAAATTTACCATATTTAAAAAACAAATAATAACGACCCGTCCGACTTTGTTTATATTTTGTCAAGGTCAAGTTCTAGACCGGAAACGAAATGTTGTATGTGATAAATCATCCTATACTTTAAATGTATTTGGCAAAACCTTTCGAAGTGTTGGGTCCTCAATACTCTTCGAATTCGTATTTTAAATGGCCTTTTTAATTTTTTTTATTCGAGAGTCACTGGTGAGTCGTTTGTAGACGAAAAGCCGTCCTGTGCACAAAATTGTAATCCTAGTATCTATTATGAGTTTAACTATATATCGGGTATAGACAAAAACACCGCTTACAGATGTTTTCAGAAGGCAATCTTAATAATAATAATAATGCATGATCAAAAATATCTGTTGGAATGCTATTTTGTAAAGACTGTAAAACTAAAGTAATGAAATATTTAAATGAGTGTATCTCAAGTTTTACTTTTTTTCAGGCTTCATATTGTTAGTACTGTACAGCAAATCTTCTTTTGGTGAGATTTATATAACTGCTCAAAATATTTGTAGTATTTCAATGAGATGATGTAAACTGAAGTAAGGAAACAGTAATTTACGACTCTAAAACATACATTTTTAGCAAGTAATCATTTGTGGTGATTTTTTGACAAAAAGTTCACCCGCCGAACTTCGATCAGACTCTTGATACTAAATCAAAAAGTAACATTAAATTCTAACAGAGAAAATAGGATTTATCGGTAAAAGCACTTTATCCCAGATTAATGCATAGGAAAGAGTGAAAAAATGTTTTATATGTAAAAATAATTTTCTGAAATTTGAAACTTAAACTTTCGAATTACATTAATATGTTTATTGAAATTAGAGTATATAAATGGTTAAAACACTTAATTTATGATTCATTCTGTTACAATTATTGATAATGTATGCATACTATGATTCATTATGTTAAAATAATGTATGAATAAATGTAGTAATTACACCATTAAAGACATTTCTACTGTAGATATTTATAATGAAAAACAAATAGATGTTGGTCAATTTAAAAATTTTGGGATCCGCAAGATATAGAGCACATGTACGTAACAACTAAAAAATTGACACTGGAACTTATTCATATAAATTCATTCAAGAAAATTAGGTTAACAGGTTATAACTTTGGTGCGAAAGAAGCATTGCTATTAATTTATCTTTATGAGGAACGCCCTAACCAAAAAGTTTGGAAGCCAAGGATGAAATCAGGAACGTTTATAAACAGTCTCATTTTAAAAATTATCTTGGCTGCGTGTTTGTCGTTATATATGTGCATGTCTTCTGTTAGATTCGTCCAGTTCATATATTTTAACAATATATTTCAAATTCTGTTGTCGTCAATTTGTTATTCTCCTTAAATTTTGAGTTAAAATCAATTATTATTAGGTGATGCGTATTAACTGTCATTAACTAAAATTTATTTCTTATAGAAACCTATATGGCATGGACAGTTTTTATGGAGACTCGAAAAAGTCCAAGAAAAAAATTATCAAAATTTGGAAGTTCTATAAAAGAACAATATGTAATGAAAAAGAAATATCTTCTTTTTAAAATTGGATATTTTCAAGGAATAATTGAACCTGCCAAACTCTCTATATGCTTATCGTGTTTGTAGATCTTTATACGCTGAATGTGTCTTTTACTTTACACAGGAGTATTTTTTCTATTTTCATATTTTAAACAGCCTTAACATGTTTTGACTGTCAAAACATTAGTCATCCCCGATTCTGTGAACAGGTTAGGAAATGTAAGGAAAATCAGGTAAGCACAGTAAAATGATGTAACTAGAACCATTTTACAGATCTTTTCTTTTGATACTTATGACTAGACTAGCTTCAGAATGTATCATACAGTGTCGAAAGGAAGCTCAATTTCTGACTGTATATTAGAGAAAATATGAAGTTATCCAAATTGTAAGGCAAATATTAAATGGAAATTAAAAGAATAGTAAAACCGAAGCTAAATATACGTACAAATGGCATACAATACAAGTTTGAGAACGAACATTGGTGGACAACTAAATTTGCACGTAAACAGTTAGTCATGTTTCTGCGTTGTTACACCAAGTCAAGTATAGATCAACACATAGATGTATTTTATAATATTGATAATAAAAGTGTACTGTTTGGTGCAATAAAGAATTATTGTTTATCAACAGATTTGTGGTTTGGAACGTGAGGTTAAGTCAAATGGTGACATTCTATTTAACGTTGGATGTATGACACCGGAGGTAAATATTACATTGCATCTTAAAATTCAAAAGCAATATTAAAAGAACGTTACTACTTTACCATTGTCCCTCAGAAAAATTAATTTAATTTTTTTTTAAAAGATGAACACCGTCATTTTGAATAAAGACTTGTTTATAATTATGATCGCAGGCTTCGCAGCTGATCATTTTGTCGTGATCGTGTTGTCAGACTAGGTAAAAATTTGATTTTTAAACACTTTCCAAAGATAAATTATCATGAACTGAAAACTACAGACAACACCTGCCAAAAAGAACTTTGTTGAGTTGCTTTGAAATGAAAGTAGCTCCTGCTCGAGAAATAACATCCGACAATATGCAAGTACAATCGGTTATACTAGGAACTCGCATTCGGTGATGTTAACGATGTTTACGTTGGACAGGCTACATATAAAGAAGACATAAATATGAATAGATTTAAATAATACCTGAACACTGAATTGTACTGTTCGTCAACTTAAAACCAAATAAACAGAACAAATAACGCACAGAAGCAAGCCTACAAAACTTAATAATTTGAAAAAAATACTCTAATCACGTTTGTGTTGAACTTGTATTGTATGTTTTACACTTCAATGCATATTAAGGCATTACTATTGAAGCATCCAGTCACAACAGAGCTCTCCCAAAGTCAAAAATAATGGAAAATGAAAATATCTTGTTATTTGTTTAATTTGTACAATTTGCTTAATCTTAGAAAATAATTAAAATTGAATTGTTTGCGTTGTTGTGTTGCACCATATTTATGTCGAGACATACAACTGAGTTCCTCGCTCAAGTAATTCTTATTAAACATACTTAATTCTTATGTAGAGTAAGAATGTCCAAAAAAAGTGCCTTTATTCTATTCTGTTATTTTAGTTACTAGTAACTGATTAATGTATGGCAGTATCAAACAACTGTTTCAGGTATGCGACACCAGCAGTGTAGGCGTGGGTACAAATCAGCCTTGTCTGAGTTGCTGTTCGACAGATCTCTGCAACACCAATGGATGTGGGGAACATGGTAATCTTATCGCTTTATCACTAAATTTAATATGTTTCTTTCAATGGATTATTTGGTATTTAAATGGTTAATGTTTATTCTTGTTTAGTTGGTTTTGCTGACTTAGTTTTATTTTGGGGATTTTGCATTTGTTTAACGGTTTCCTTAAACTTTTGTTCATTTTTTTTATTCATATTTTGGTGTACTGTTTTGACTTGATGTTCAATTATTATTCTTATTTGGTATTTGTTAAATTCTGCTGATCAGAAACATTTCGGTATGTTCCTCTCCTTAAAATCAAATCATCGGGAAGTTTGAGTCATATTACAGGTTTTGCAATCCACCATGTACTTTCTTATGCTATTATATCAAATTATAAGCATAAACTGTTATTTTTTTATACATCAATCAGTTCACATACAGTTTATTATCGTTGATTTACCCGATATTTCAAGTTGTGTATCACATGTTCAAGTTTGCGTTTGAAACATATTTTATATCTCATATCGTTTGGAATACCATAGGACATATGAATGTAAAGTCGCCGATATTTCATATCAGTAACAATAGATACAACTGACGCAATACTTAAAAGCATATACAGATAATTAAAAAAAAAACGTTTGAGGTAAACTTCACCTGAGGTATTGACATCTTTTGGTTCTTTTTAATGAAAACAATGATCAATAAAATATTGTTTTGGGCTGTTGAAGTGTTACAATGAAGAGTTATGTGACTGCTTATGTACGTACTTTGAGATTATAAAATTTCAGAAGTAGTAAAAGTGTTATATTTAAAAAAATTAAAAGAAACAAAAAAAATGTTTTTCGATATTGACCATTATGAGAAATTGGGACAATCTTATTTGTGTAAATTTAATATTTTACCTACATTTAGATATATACGTTTAAACAATGTCAATCACGTTGTAAAATCTCATTTGCAAATTGATCAAAACAGAATCAAAACAGCGTTGAAGAAATAATTTGTTACTGCAACTATTATTTTGAAAATAATTAAAATGCTTGGTTAGTTGTGTATTGATTAATCGATGTGTTTTAAATATCTGTTTTAACTAATATGCATCTTATTTTGGCTCTTAAAGATCATACGAAGAATGGAACTTTATGTTACGCTTGTTCTGGTCAGCAGAGACCTGAATCTTGCCATACCGTATCTTTTTGTGAAAGTTTTGAGGTAAGATCAGTTTGGTTAGCTCTTATTCACATACATTAAAAATGCTTTAATTTTGTCTATCTATTCAAGAACTACTACCAGGCGGCCGTCTTTGTACCTACTCAATTGATAGATAGACATAAGAAGATGTGGTATGAGTGCCAATGATACAACTCTCTATCCAAGTCACAATTTATTATAGTAAACCATTATAGGTCATTGTACGGTCTTTAACACGGAGCCTTGGCTCACACCGAACAGCAAGCTATAAAGGGCCCCAAAAATTACTAGTGTAAAACCATTCAAACGGGAAAACCAACGGTCTAATCTATATAAAAAACGAAAAACGAGAAACACTTATGAACCACATCAAGAAACGACAACTACTGAACACCAGATTCCTGACTTAGGACAGTTGCAAACAATTGCAGCGGGTTTAAACGTTTTGATCGTACTAAACCTTCACCCTTATCTGAAATAATAGTGTATACTTTTAGTCTACTAGCACTAGGTTGATACCACCACTTTTTGAATATAAGTAATCATACCACATCTTCTTATCTTTTATTAGGACGCATAAAATTTATAATGTTTAATCTTCATTTGGACTTCGTTGTGATTAAATTACATATCAAAGAAATAAAACTTTACTTTTAATTGTAAACTTTTCATTTACTTATTTCAAATATTCAATATTAAGAAATGAAAACAACACGGTGACTATGATTTGAATGCTTCCGAAACGCTTATCTTGATTTACCTTCATCAGGAACTTTCAAAGGCGAATTTGTGAAATATTTATAATAACAGAACAGATGAATAGCTATGACTGAAAAGATCTTACGAATTATATCAGCATATTCCTTTTTATATTACCAAATAGTGTCTGTTTCACCTTCTTATCTTGAATCTGTAAAAGGACGAACACTCAACGATTCCATAACTAATATGAACGATATGTTGATATATATTTTTAAATGGTTGACTGAATGGAAACTTATATGTTATCAATGTCATGCAGCAAGTCATTAAATCGAAAAAAGTAAAATAACAAAAATACCAAACTCCGAGGAAAATTCAAAACGGAAAGTCCGCAATCAAATGGCAAAATCAAAAGCTCAAACACATCAACCGAATGGATAACAACTGTCATATTCCTGACTTTGTACATGCATTTTCGTATATAGAAAATGGTGGATTGAACCTGGTTTTATAGCTAGCTAAACCTTTCACTTGTACGACAGTCGCATAAAGTTCCATTATATTGACAACGATGTGTGAACAAAACAAACAAACATAATAGGTAAAAATGTCAAAAATAGGGGTACAGCAGTCAACATTGTGTTATAATTTTAATCACTATAAAAACAAACATGTAACAAATGAAAGACAAGGATACAAAAATTCACCATCGCACAATAACACAATGACGGGTATAAGTACATAACCACGTCATCTGTAAAAAAAAAAACGCAACAAGGCGTATAGACAAAGCACATTAGCAAAGTTTGTGATAATAACATGAGCAGTTGTTGACAACAGGATTTTACCATAAACAAAATGACCACTTGCTTGTAAAAAAAAAATTTTATTAAGTTTTTTTTCCAGTTTGCAACATGTTGATCAGAACATGAGTAATTAATGCACATAGCACTACAAAAGTCAAAAAGTCTGAAAAGACCAGTTTTTGTCTGAATTTGCATGAATTTTTACTCGACATTCTTAATTTGTCTGAATAATTTTTAAAAATTCTTGACATAGTATGAATTTGTCTAATAAGGTTCTTGATTTTTCTTGACAAGTGTCTTGACAGTATGAACATTGTCTTAAAATTTCTCGACACTTCCTGTATCATCTGATAAGAGTCTGGATTAGTCTCGACCAATTCTTGACTGTCTTAAATTTGTCTCGATCTGTCTTGACATATTCTTGACATTCTTAATAATGTCTGAATATGTCTTGACATTCTAAATAATGTCTGAATATGTCTCGACACATTCTTGACAGTCTTAAATATGTCTTGACATTATCTCAACAGTATAAATTTCGCCTGAAATGTGAACAGACTTATTCTGCACTGTTTATGACATTCTATTGCTGTTATATACTCCTTTTTATCATGGCTAAACTAAACTTTGAAGAATCAAGGATTAATTTGGTATAGTAAGATACCCTTTTGGTGCAACTAAGTTGGAATACCCTGAATAATCAATTATTTTACATGCCCAACTTTTATTTTTGTTGTAAAGAAGTGTAACTTGAAACAACAGTATATCATATCAAGAGAAATAAAGATTAAAGTTATAATATGAATAGGTAAACGGACAGAAAGTCACAGGACAAAAAGTCACAGGACATAAAGTCACAAATTGGATAGGACAAAAAGTCACAGGACAAAAAGTCACGAATAATTTATTGACAATTGTTTGAATATATAAGAGAAAGATCTTCAAATAATTTCTTTTTTTACATTTATTCATTTTCAAGTTCAGGAAATTGTTCATAAGACTTGATAAATGAAAAATTATTAAATTTTAATCATGCAAATAATATATTTCTTGGCACCATGAAGCCATTTAAGTGCCAAACCACTTTCACATTTGGTTATCATAACAATTATTTGATCATCATTGATATTTATTGAATAAATTTTAATTACAAAGTTGCTTCATATATTATAGTTCAATAAAAAATAAAAAAAATATTTTAAAAATTAGTGTTTCTTGTTCAGAGAAAAATAATCTCAAAACTGAATTGTGACTTTTTGTCCTGTGACTTTTCGTCCGTGACTTTTTGTCCGTGACTTTTTGTCCTGTGACTTTCTGTCCTACATTCTATGAATATTGGTCATGATTTGTAAAACTCAGAACTGTCAAGTAAGTTTAAGACACGATTCAAAATGTTCAGAATATGTCAAGCCATACTGAGAAAAAATAAGAATGTCGAGAATATGTCGAGAAATTTCAAGACAGTATTCAAATGTCAAGAATTTGTCAAGAAATTTTAAGACCATATTCAGAATGTCGAGAATATGTCGAGTAAATTTCATACAAATTTAATATAAATGAGAATTTGTCAAGAAAAATTAAGACACAAGTCATACTTGTGGAGAATGTCGAGTAAAAGTTCATGCAAATTAAGACAAAAACTGGTCTTTTCAGACTTTTAGACTTTTGTAGTGTAGTCTACAGAAATAATTTTTCAAACAATTTCTTATAATTGTATTGTATGTATAATAAAGGAGGAAAATGTCAAATGAACTCATCATACATGTAGATACCAGGTTTAAAATTTTATATTTACGCCAGACGCGCGTTTCGTCTACAAAAGACTCATCAGTTACGCTCGAATCAAAAAATGTTAAAAAGGCCAAATAAAGTACGAAGTCAAAGAGCATTGAGAACCAAAAATTCCTAAAAGTTTTGCCAAATACAGCTAAGATAATCTATTCCTGAGGTAGAAAAGCCTTAGTATTTCAAAAAATCAAAGTTTTGTTATAATGTAACAGTTAATTTATAATTATGAACATATCAATGATAACTCAAGTCAACACAGAAGTGCTGACTACTGAGCTGGTGATACCCTCGGGGAATTAAAACTCCACCAGCAGTGACATTGACCAGTGGTTGTAAATAAACTCATCATAGATACCAGGATTGAAATTTTGTATTTACGCCAGACGCGCGTTTCGTCTACAAAAGATTCATCAGTGACGCTCGAATCAACAAATGTTAAAAAGGCCAAATAAAGTACGAAGTCAAAGAGCATTGAGGACTAAACATTCCTAAAAGTTTTGCCAAATACAGCTAAGGCAAACTGATCGAAATCGAAAGTTCTTTGGGCAAACATCTGACCTGCCTTAAACAATGTGTAGGCATTTTCAAATCGAAAAATTATCTGGAAGCAGTGACCAAAACACATATTATGACATGAATCTTGACTTCAAATAGGCAATTGATATACAGGCATTCAACACGACATCTTTTAATTTTATAAATCTAGTTTATATGAGACTTTCAAAATTGCATTAACCCAAGATGAGAGTAATCAGATGTGTAGGAGACAAGATAAGTACAAAATACTTTTGATAATGACAAATGTGATCAATGACAGAGCTGTAATGGCACTGGTGAATAGCAACTAAGGCGTTAGTAACTGGTTAGTTGAGGAATTAACGAAATGTAGCTTGTTAGTTGAGAAACTGGCACTATGAAACTGCGGAGTTGACAAATTGAGAAAATTTAATTAGTGGGTTGAGAAACTGACACAATGTTTATACTAAGTTGAGAAATTCAGACAAAGAAACAGATGTGTTGACAAATTAAGACATTGTACGAGAAAAGGCGAAAGATAAAATAGGAAAATTCAAATTCTTAAGTAGAAAACAGATTGACAATCCCATGGGAAAAACGAAAACGACTAACATCATAAAAACCAAGGACTGAGCAACACGAACTCTACTAAAGTTTTAAACATAAGTCACTGACGAATTGAGAAACTGAGAGAAAACGAAACCATACGCCAATCCTTTTTAGTATTGTTTATTCATCTTTAGATGTGCTATTTAGAAGAAAAGTCTTATTTCGGAGAAAAGTTTTACAATAGTGGATGTAAAGTTAAGCATGTAAGTTCATCTTGTACTGTATTAAATTATTAAATTATGGCATATATTAATTATATGGATAAGCAGATAAATCGATTATAAAGATGTGAATGAGGTCACATCTAGAGCTTTGAAAATTTGAGATGAATATGTAAATAAAAATGATAATAAATTAGTTGTATGAAATAAAATATTTGTAAGCCTTTGAGAAAATTGATCTCTAGAACAATTCCTCGATGGTCTCGTATAACGTTTATGTATTGACAAGATAAGTCGTCGGATCTTTCCTCCCAATTCCATTAAATGAACTTCTAGAGCATTATCAAGGCTAACATACATTATCCGTCATCATTAACTGGACATAGTCTTCTGATTCCCCTTAAGGGATAACATCATATGGTGTTTCTTTGTAGTCGTATCGGTTTACATTCCACCATGCGTGTGGTTTGCGTGGAGCAACATAAACACATCGAAAATTAATTTTCAGTACCAAAAAAGTCTACAAGTATCTTTTAATTTATATCTTAAACAATTTTTTTTTTTTCAGTTTATAAACAACTAATCTATTTGTTTTACAGATTTGCGATGCCGAGTATAATAAACCAATCGTTGGACGCAGATCCATTAAACAATCCAGGTCCACATCACAGTTATCATGCTGCGATAAAAATCTGTGTAACGACATTGACCGTCTACATGGACAAGTCCAGTCAACTATACAAACAACCAATGTTCACATCCCTAATAGTTCTACAAGAACTACAACACTTTCTTCAGGTATTAAAATTACTATATAACTTACATTGGGATAAAAAGTCAATCTTTTATGTGCAATTCAAATCTGCAACATATGTCATAATTTCCATACAAAATATGCAAAAAAAGCCGCAACTTGGGCAATGTTTGTGCATTACACTTGGGACTAATAACTTTCTTGAATCTTTACATATCAAAATCTATAGAAGTCTACAAAATTGGTATTTCATTTGAAGGATCTAACATCACCTTCCCGAATGATTTTATACATCTCTTTTACTAAGATGAAATGACTATCTTTTTTTGGTCTCAGAAATGTCTTTGCTTTAAATGTCTAATTGTAAGTTTCAATAAATGTCGAATTATTAACTTATAAATACTTCATCGAATATATGATTCAAGATAGTGTTCACTTAATATGATCGTTATGATATATAAGTCAACCGTATTGTACACTTTGTTGTTAAATAAAGAAATAATAAGAAGACAAGAGTTTAAAACCAAATGTATACGGATATTTGCTGAAAATATATTGTTTAAAATAATTTTCTGTCGAACGTTTGCAGTTTCGTTCAATATAAATGGCAAGATAACACAAACAATATATCTATATACATTTTCTAAGATTCATAATGGACTGCTGACTGAAGAACTGAATGATAAACAGAGACGAACAGACTTCAAACATAAGTCCCTTTTGGCTTGGTAAAGGGAAAACTGTCAGTCATATATCTATCGAAGTGTATCATTATCAACCATTTGTTTTCTAGGAATTCAGCTGTTTTTTCTTTTATTGTTTATCACACTGATTTTTACTATGATACAATAAAAAGGAAACATCCAATTATATGCAAATACACTCATTGTTAGCAAAATGTTTCTTATTCATATAGCTACCCCAAAAATATACTACCGGTGCTGTATTTGACACAATTTTCCGAAATGTTGGTTCTGCAATGCTATTCAAAAATGTACTTTATTTGACCTTACAACTTTTTTTATTCGGGCGTTACTTTTCGTATTTTGAGACGAAACGAATGTTTGGCGTACTAAATTATAAGCCAGGTATCTCCGATGAGTAATTCATACAGTACACACACTTCTTTTTTTCTTCAAAGGACAGCCTTCAGAATGTGCTGATATTGCATCAGATAGAGATGGAGTTTACACTATTATTCCTAAAGGAAGTTCTCAGGAAATCTCAGTGTTCTGTATAATGAGAGGAGGAAATAAATGGACGGTAAACTAACAATAAATTTTGTTCAGAGGGCCTATATTTTATGTGGTTTGTCTTCCATTGACTAAATCATATTCCACGCGCTGCTGTTACATTATTCAGTTTGTATTGCATGAAAACCGGTTTCCACTTTGACCTTGATTATATGGTAATTAAGACGCAATTGCAGTATAAGGATGTTCAAAAAGCGAAAATCCATTTTAAATATGCAAATTAAGAAAAAACAAACACCAGCGGGAATGCCCTGAATACCAAATAAAGCGAGGCTGGGTGCTGCCAAAGGTATAGCGCCTTTATTTTTGCATGCAATTTCAAACTCAGTCAAAATGTTGCGATAGGGAATATAAGACACATTCGGTAAATTTACGTACTGATCAAACGACTATCCTGTTATTTTACGACACAAGACCAGTAAAACTTGTTTCTCGTGATTTGAAAAACAGACAGCTCGTATCGGTTAACAAGTAAATATATCGAAATCAAATCAATACTATGATTATTATATTAAAATGTATTTCGTGTTTCTTTAAATGTAATATAGTAGGGTGCCCAGTGTCCAAAAAGTCCATTGGTTAACGAATTTAAGTTAACGAATAACATACGGCTAATTTTTTTGGCAAATTATAGGAAAATCATCATATTTTAAAATCATGATTGTCGTCGTAAGTTTCCATGGTCACGATTTTCTAAATTTCGTGTTTTTGCAGGGTACCCCAGATACCGTATTGTATGGGAAATACTTAACATGAAAAATAAAATTATTACGTTCTTGGTTGATGGTTGAAATTGTTCTTATAATATAGATTATACATTAAATATATCATATAACAAAAGCGGAAAGTATTTAAGTGATTTTAGTATAATTATTTCAGCTTTTTTAGTAATACTTAAATTTCACCCGAAATTTTTCACATTTTCATCGAAAGCAAACTTATTACGTGCATCATCACGATGTTTTTTTACTCTGATTAAAGCAATTAGATACGGTGCATATGTGTGCCGCACTTCATGTATGAAATAAAAGTAGTTTTTGAAGAAATTAGCAATTAAAAACACACATTAAGTTAACAATTTGGCATTAATTAAACACGGATTACCCCGTGACATTAATCATTTTGTTGCTTACACTATTAGGTCATTAATAAGGACAGTGGTCACTCAATACATTTATCATTTTTGCTTGTTGTGTGATTGATTTATTTGTTTTGAATAGCCAGCTACATGAAACTTCGTAAATTGTTGTTTTCCTCGGTTGAATATGGCTATACTTTAAAGGGGCACTAGCTGTCAAATTCATGTTCGCCGATTTGACTCAAATTCTCATATTAGATTTATAACAATGTAAAACATTTATCCAAATTATAAAAAGTCTAAAATAAACAATTTACAGGACATGGGCTCGATAATATGTAGCTTCGTTTCGTGTGTATTTTAGTCTAGACGCCATCTAATTAACTATCGAGATGACCCCAAAAACAACCGACGGTCACATAACACGATATAAACATAAACATAAATATAAATAGATATATGGACCTCGTGCAAATGGATTTTACTATGTCTGTTTGATTTCAATTTTAAGGTTAAAGAAATAAGTTAATCTTCGATTTTATCTGTATAAGAATGATTTTTTGTGGATCGAATCAGTCAATCAAATGACTTACCTTTGTTTCACTTTCAATGTTGACATTCTTTTCTTTTAATAGCCTAACACGCATCAATCATGCATAATCCATCTCTAGCTATAAGGGGTTAAATTGAAGTTCACATGAATACGGATTCAATGAGGTCGAATTATTCACTTGCAAGTGAATAATTCATCATTGATGTTTCTTAGCTTATTTTGACAAAATTGAACCATACTAATAAATTATTGTTCCACTATTTAACTTTCATTAATGATTGAACAAAAAAAATCATAATTTGATTTTTTTATTTATCTCTTAGCTAGTGCCCCTTTAATATTTTTATTGAATAGATATTTTTGTTATAATTGTAGTATAAGAATCAAATCGGTCGGTTTTTCATTCACACCCGGAATATGGTACATCAAGTCTATGTTATGGTCTTGCATGATGTTTTCAACCTAAATCCCCCCACCCCGGTGTGAAATTAAAAAAAAATGTATCACCGTTCGTGCTATAAATGTATAATACACCAGCAGATACAACTGCAATAATTTCAAAGCTGAATTGTCAATAGTTTTGAAGCCAATGACCTATACGTGCCAAGCTGGCAGCAGGAAAAACATTTCCGGATTGACCATCCGACGCATGCTTTTTTTGCTGTGCGAAAATTTATTTTCACTTTGGCACAAATTCATATCCTCAACTATCCTGCATTTCAAGTTGCAGAGTATTCATTTTCGTCCGGTTTTGTGCAAAAACATGTATTTTCAGTTCATTCCAGGCCAAGTTATTGATTTTCAAATTCCTCCTCCCCTCCCTCCATTCGAAATTAAATGGTCGTCCCCTTACTGAAAGCTAACAAAAGAACATCATCAACTCATAGTCTGAGAAAAGTATGATAATAACAATCATTACCGTAAAAACTAGGATTCTACTGGTGCAGCATGTTTTACTAACTGACTGAATTATGTCAAAATTCTTAGAGGAAATGATTTAATCATTCTTTTTATATTACTGTCCCAAGTCAGGATTGAGTCGGTTTTTAAGGGGTTGTCGTTTATTCATGTCTGTAAATTTTTTTTTTTTTGGTAAACTGTTTTGTTATAAATTAGGCCTTTAGTTTTCTAAAATGAATAGTATCAATTTTTTATATCCGGGCCTCTTACAGCCGACTATACGGTATGGGTTTTTCTCATCATTGAAGGTCGTACGGTTGCATATAACTGCTTACTTACACATCTCCTTATTTTATACTGTACAAGTATTACATACAATTAACATGATCAATGCTCTATGTAAAGGAGGTAAGGTCAGATGTATTCTGCCACATTCTAAGACATGTACACTTTGCTACCATTCCATATACCAAATATATTTGACCCACTACTTTTTGTATTTGAGATTAGGACTTGACCACCGAAACTTAACTTTGTTCACTGATCTATAAAATGAGGTCGAGGTCAGGTGAACCCTGTATGACCGACATGTAGACCTTGCAAGGATACCATATATTAGTAACCAAAAAGAGTTATCCCATAACCCATGATAAACGAGATGCGAAGGATACCAAAAGGACATTCAAACTCACAAGTGAGACATTCACATGACGAAAAAAAGCTATACAGTTTTTTAGCAGTCACTTAACCATGCAAATGAGGTCAATGACAATGATTATATGACAGACGGAAACTTTACACTAGACGGAAACTTCGTAACACAATGGATCTATATACAAAATATGAATCTTCCGATTCCTCTATCCTCTGAAATATAAAAATATACAAATAGTTTACGGTGTTTCCATCGCCACCATCAGATTATATGCTGTGTGCCAGGCATTCTGTGACTTGCTGCGAATGCGATTTAAAAAAAGAACAACTGAAATTAGTTTTCTTATCTAAACCTGGTCGGTAGGCTTTCAACTTAACAGTAGACTGCTAGCTTCGGCAATTTTTCTATGTTGTTTCAATCTGATTAAAATTGTGATCTGTATATATATACTATCTACTCGCGTGCTCGTATATATGCTCATATGAGGATAACGGAATCAGAGATCTATATTTTAATGAGATTGATGTTGTTTACAACCCTCTTTTTGATAATAATCTAAATTTCATGTCAATTGCAGGCCAATGTATGCTCAATAAGGCATATAAGTGTGTAAGATGGAGTGATTAACCTGTTTCTAATTGTCATTTTGTTTTCATATATACGTTGACAGAAACCCTTCCCCTTTTTCACCGTTTGCAGTCTTTCTTTTTTCTATAAAGCAAAGATATACTCAGACCTGCTAATTCAATCCATTCTGTGTTGATATTACAACTGTTTTGGAACTAAGTACAATTTTATGTGCATACACACTCACCAAAAGAAAATTGGATATTTACCCAGAAAATCTTTACGAACACCTTCTATCAAAGAACGGAAAAATAAGATTTTGGGAGGGCAACTTATAAATGTTAATTTCTAAAAAAAAAAACATCTCTAGAGATCACTTGTATTGAATCTTGTGTAAAAATTCCGAATTTGGAAATTTTAATAGGTCAAGGTCACTGTTATATAACAGCTGAATGAAAACTGTAAATGTGCACCCTATAAGTACATATGTCAATCTCGAACCATATTTAGCAATATAAATATCAAATTAGTCCTAAATATAGAAACTTTAGTTATAATTCTTTTAATTATTCGAATTTATTTTGCTATAAAGCATATGTGTAGGTGGCCAGCTGTCTAAAAGTTACTCTGCGTTTTCCTTGAAATTTTAGCTTTGAACTTTTACCCAAATTTAAGAAAATCGTGACCACTGTAGACAACGACGACATCAATATTTCGATGAGGTTTGTTCTCCTCTTTCAAATGATATTAAATACAGCCGTGTGTTTTTCCGTTAACCCAAATCGATAAAATTCGTTGACTGGGCACCCTACTAATATGCTTGAATGACGCCGTATTATGTCATAATTTGTTATCCTGCTGTGATAGCTTACTATACGGTATTGGATTTCGTATTGTTTTATTAATGTCTGTACTGTGACCGGTAGTAATATATTGGTTACATCCTTGTAATTTGGGTCTTTGTTGATTTTGTCTCTTTGGCAAGCAAACCACATCTCCTGATTAACATAATTGTAAAGGCTTAAAAGAGGGACGAGAGATACCAGAGGGACAGTCAAACTCATAGATCGAAATTTACTAGTAATATAAACATGAAAATAAGGAGTTATTTTAAACTTGCCAAGGAGGACACTATCGACAATGACAAAAATGACTATATTGTAAACATGAACAGATCAACGTATGCGACCTACGACACCGAGTAAAATGAAGATCCATTGGAAAAGAAGCAAGAGATGTAATATATGTTAATGTAAGAAGCACTTCAGCGCTGTATGAAAATCCCGAAGCGTTACTTTCACTTATTCCAATACAGTTTTACCTTAAAAGCATAGTCGCATTGTAACACGAAATGATATTTCGATTACAGATTAATTAGAACACATTTTTACATACGAATAAACACATTTACAAGAAAATAACATCTAGTCGGAATGATACTACATGTCATTCAGTAAATAAATAAAAAAGGAAAGGAATAATTTTAGGTAATACAAAGAAGGATAAATGGTAAAGAAGATTTTTATAGAACTTGGTCGGACTATAAATCTGGGTTTGGTACTGTTCAGACAGAATATTGGCTAGGTAATTAAATATTTTTTTTATAGATACTGACTTGATATACTAACACAAAACAATGTGAAATTGTTGAATGTGGTATATTTCTTAATTTTTTTCATTCTTTTTTTATGTATTCAATGTATCAATTTACCTTTCAACTATCCTCTCAGCCAAGAACAGAAATTCACAAAAGTTATGTTAAAGAATTTTCGTTTATAGCTGTGGCCTGTTTTCTATTTCCCGCATGAAGAGATAGAATTTCTCGGATCACACTACATGGAGTGTGATACGAAAAGGTGATACGAAAAAGTGATAAGAAAAATTGAAATCGTCTCGTTTGTTATAGATTCAGGTACTGAGATGGCCACTGTTGGGAAATTCTAGGTAAATGTCTAGAAAGGAAACGGAAGAAGCTGTATCTGTGGTTTCTATAATATCTACTTTAGGAGGATATATTAATGGGACCAAATAAGAAAAGTTTGGATTGTTAATGGAATGAACATCATCGAGTGATATCAAATTCTAACTCATTATGAAACTTATGAATATATACCCATATATCAACATACCATCATCAATAAAACACTACCTTATAATTAAATCCCTCCAAAATCTGGGGTAAAAAATAAAATAACACAAATACCGACCTCCGAGGGAAATTTAAAACGGAAAGCCCTTATCAAATGGCAAAATCAAAATTTTCAAACACATCAAACGAAAGGATAACAACTGTCATATTCCTGACTTAGTATAGGCATTTTCTTCTGTAGAAAATGATGGATTAAACCTGGTTTATAGCTAGCTAAACCTCTCACTTGTATGGCAGTCGTATAAAATTCCATTATATTGACAACAATGTTTGAACAAAACAAACAGATATCACTAGATGATGTTCATACCATTTAAACTCACGACTCCATAAGGATAAGCAGTTCCAAATGACATAAGTCGCGTGCTCAGACGTGAAAAATTAGAATGTGATTTCCATTGTTTGTTATTTTTTAACTCAGACCGTAGGACAAAATTGTGGCTTTAAAAATAAACAGATCAAAGACCATCTATTGCATGCGAATTCAAAAACATAGTCAACCAAATAATGATAGTTTCCGCGATAATTTCGAAGAGATGTCTTCAAATTCACAATTAAGAGTTCAATATAGCTTCCATTCTAGTAGCAATCTGTTATTAAGAAAATCATGATCGGAAATGGAAGCCCTGGAATATCGTATTAAATAGAGACATATAGAAATAAGAAGAAGTGGTATGAGTGCTCCATCCAAACTCCATCCAAGTCACGATGTGTGAAGTAAACAATTATAGGTCAACTAGTTTATATGCAGGTGCTTATGTTTTGTGTGATAAGGTTTCTTTTAATTGATGAATTCAAAATTTTTATGTATTCTCATTGTACATAAGTTATTTAAGTTAAGTTATTTACAACCACTGCTGGTGGAATGTTCCTTCCCGGTTGTATCACCAGCCCAGCCCAGCACTTCTGTGTTGACATCAATTATCATTGATATGGTCATAATCATAAATAAACTGTTTACAAACATTTATTTTTTTCTTAAAAAAAACAGGAAAAAGATTACCTTAGATGTATTTGGCAAAACGTTTCGGAATTTTTGGGTCCTCAATGCTCTTCAGCTTTGTACTTTATTTGGCCTTTTCACCTTTTTTTATTCAAAAGTCACTGATGAGTCTTTTGTAGACGAAATGCGCGTCTGGTGTTAAATGTTTTTTTAATTAAAGGAAACAGTAGTGTACCGCTGTTCAATAGTCATAATTCGATTTATCATAGTTAAATCCGGGTTACAAACTAGAACCGGGGGAAACACATCACTTTAAGAGGAAAACAACGGAACAACAGAAAGACTGAACTTCATCAAAGGCAAACACCAACATACATAGAAACGGACTGTAGATTACAACTGACATATCTTAAGTCTGATATTTATTTAGAGTATTATCCCTTTTTGTGTTTCTTTGTTACATATGACGTGGCTCTGTACTTATACATCCCGTCATTGTGTTATTGTGTTATGGTAAATTTGTGTATGCTTGTCTTTCATTTTTGCTAATGTGCATTGTCTATATGCCTTGTTGTGTTTCTTTGTTATATATGTAGGACTCAAATCTATGGTGGGTTCCAAATCTATGGCGGATTCCTAATCTATGATAAATATGACGTCATGCCATCCCAAATCTATGGCAAAAAATTTACACTCCTAATCTATGGCAAGTTTTTTAAATTTTCTAATTATGACGTCATGCCATCCCAAATCTATGGCAGATTTTTTACAACCCAAATCTATGGCAAATTTTGTAATTTCCAAATCTATGGCGGATTTTTGTTGATTTAAAATCTATGGCAAATGTCGTGCAAATGGAAAACAATGCAGTATATACGACCAATGACTTGTCTAAAACAAATGGAGATAAATGACAACGTAAGAGTGTGTATAAACACTAGTGAAATAAACATGTTATAGCTGACTATGCAGTATGGGCATTGCTCTTTGTTGAAGGCGGAACGGTGACCTATAGTTGTTAATTTCTGTGTTTGGTCTCTTGTGGTGATTTGTCTCATAGCAATCATACATGTCATACCACAACTTCTTTTGTATATTGTATAAATTATAAACCACATCATGACAGTAACCAAATTTATAAATGATCAATTTAAAAAGCTTAATAAAGACTTCATGATCTTGAAATGATGTGTCCCGTAAACATAAGCATTTTCTACTCTGTGCATGGTCATGTTTAACCGACACATTAACCAAATAGTAAGTCATTAAACAACAAGAAAGCAGTTTCTGTTTGTAAAAAAAATAAACACTTTGACTCTTCACATGCTATTTATTTTCTCCTGATCACATCTTTTTAATTTGATGACGATATAAATCAAATTTGTATCCTGTAATTTGATCTGTCACTTTATACACTTTTCCAGCAGTAGACGCTGAAATTGAGTCTATGACCCCTTTCCTGAAATATCCTGTACTGAAAACTGCGGTGCCTTTGTTCATCGCAGGATTCGGTCTGTACATCACATTTTGTCCCTCTTCCGGATAGTAGGTAATGTCTTCCCTCAAACCATCGGAAAACTGCTCTAGTGGAAAAGCTGAAATTGTTTCCCGGTGAATTTGTTTATAAAAATCGGTGAGTCCAGTGTTAAATACCGGTAACTGTTTTTGATTTACATTCTACAAAAAAAAATAGTCTATAAGTATAAACAAAAAGTATATGTTGGCTGAGTGAAATCAAATCTAAATTAATAATAGTACATCTAGATAGATATACGAAGATGTGGTATGAGTGCCAATGAGGCAACTCTCCATCCAAGTCACAATTTGTAAAATTAAACTATTATAGGTTACAGTACGGTTTTTCACACCGAACAGCAAGCTATAAAGGGTCCCAAAAATGACTAGTGTAAAACCATCAAACGGGAAAACCAACGCGGTTTACTTATTTTTAGGTTAAAAAAATATATGCAAAGTGTAGCAGTTTTAAAATAAAGTTGATATACTAGTAATAACCGTACAAAGCAAACTAAAATTCAACTTTTACATTTTGCATTTGAATGGTTCAGCATTATTAAAAGTCTTATACATGTACATGTATACGTGCAGTCGCAACACTTTTAAAGATTTCTATCAAATGCATCAAATTTTATGTTATATAGGACAATATTTTAAAAAGTACATCATGCAGTTACAAACCTATTCTATACAACAGTATGTAAACAAAATTATTACATATTACGCTTACATAACGAGCAACAAACTACTAAGGCACAAAGTTTAAAATATAGGACATTTAAAGACAAATCCCAACAAAATCACATACCTGTGGATGAACTGGTACATTTTCTTTATTTTGCTCATTATAAAACTTTCTCTGATACATTTGTTTGTAGTATGGACTAACATTTTCCTACAAAAAAATAAACAGAATATTTCGTGTTATTTTGTGCACAATTTATCACTTAATATTTCACTGAACAAATAATACATTAATACACATGTAAAAATATTCGTCTAATCTGTAGGTTATACGGAAACTCATACAACAATAGTTTTTTCTATTTTAAAAAAAAGATATTTATGTATTGGTTAGGAACAAGTACGTACTCTTAAGATCTAATGTGTTGGTTTTCTTTCTTCTTCTTTTTTTGGCGTGTGTTGAAAATTATAAACAAAGTAATGCACAAGGCTTAACATACTTACTTGCAAAATAACAGTTTGTGAAAATGATGGTTCGGGCACTACAAAATCATTTTCCTGGGTACAATCTGGAGGTAAATTGCCATGTTCTTCATTTACGCCATGGTCTGCAAAATAAAAACAAAAACTAATTAATTAATTTACAGTTAAATATAGCTAAGCATATGTTAAATTTAAATTTATTTTTATCACATGTAAAACAAGTAATTGTATTCATTTTTAGAATTAAATTTATAATTTAAATTTGTGTACTTTTATTAGTTTTAAATAATGATTGATTGTTTGTTGGTTGCTTAACGTCCAGTGGCAAATATTTCATGCATGTTCAGGACGATAGCTTTAAGTAAAAAGTTCATGCATATGTGTTTAAATCTTACCATGTAAAGTGAGTTCCTCTTCATTATGATTTGTACTGGCGAATTGGTTTCCACCTGAAGCCTCAGTTAAGGATGAGTGTAGCACATCAACAGATACTTCTGGGAGTTCTTCCTCTGACTCATTTTCATCAACATCTAATTCGGCGTGCTCTAAAAAGTCTCGTTCTTCTTTAGTAAGAGAAGCATAAGGTACCTATAAATACAAAGGTATGTTGAAAAGAAGATGCTCTTTTTATAATAAAAAATAATTTTCAATTTCTTTGGTGTGAAAAAAACCGTTGTTTTATTGGTTTGTCTTTATTTCCTGACATTCGGCAAGTTATAATTTTTAAATAAATCTATAATGTAAAAATCTATCTCAACCGCAAGTTAAAAAACAAATACTGATATGAATAATAACCCTAATCAAATTTTTCTTAAGACACGTCTCAGGATAGCTTATTTACACAGACTAGACTGCATATTCTTACAACTTAAGTCACTAGACGGCACATTGTCACGGTAAGAGACATAACATTGACACAGCCTACGGCTAAAAATAGTACATTTGCAAACTAAGGCGCTATAGTGCACATGACACATTCTATGGTACTTGAATGCACATTGACACAGCCAACAGCCCTAAACGGCACATTGACAGCCTACGGCCCTAGACGGCACATTGACATAGCCTACGGATCTAGACGGCTAATTGACACAGCATACTGCCGTAGCCAGCTTATTGACACATCCTACGGTCCTAGACGACTTATTGACACAGAATAGCTGTAACATAAAGTAAGAATACTACTATAAATGACCTAATTACTAAGATTTTTTTATAACACAAAGACTCAATTTTTAATTTCCGAAATAATAATTTATATAAAATTAACGAAGTAAAGTAAATACCTGATCATCAAGCGGCACAGCAAAATTTGGTCGACTAAAAAATAGCTGATATGGAGTCTTTGGACGTGTGGCCTTGTTTAGCCTGTTGTTATATGCGTAATAAAATTCAGGAAGTTGATCGGACCAGTCTGAACGTTCTGACATTTTAATTCTAAAATACTCAGTCAGTGTGCGATTAAAACGTTCCACTCTGCCCTGACTTTGTGGGTGGTATGGTCTACCATGCATTTGGACTGTGTCAAATTGTATTACAACTTCTTTAAGATGCGAGTTCCGGAATTCTTTTCCATTGTCTGACTGTAGAATACGTGGAGCTCCATATAGATAAATGTAACTGAGTACAACTTTGCTTATTTCAGTAGCACTTTTAGTTTTACATGCATGCTTGGCCAAATGCAAATCTTGAAAAACAATCAACGATATTACATATGTACTGATATCCTTTATGAGGTGGCATCTTTTTTAGGTCAATTTGCCATCTTGAATTTGGATAAGTTGCTGGTATTGGGCGTCTTGTTCTTTCTGTTTTTGGTAGAGATATAGCACTTTTACATTGTTCACAGTCCACGTAAAGATCAAATAAAAGCTTCACGTTTTCCCTTACGACTGGGAAAACAAATCTTCGAATAGATTCATAAATGCTGTGAGATTTTCTGTGATCTAATGCATGATTCTTTTTTACTAGATTAATTAAATCCTCCTTTGAAAGACATTTCCTATGAGGAGTAGCTAGGTCAACACTTTTTTTATACAAATGATTCGAAGTCAAATCATAAAAATAATTTTCCAAATATTTTCTAACCATTCTATCGTTCAACTGTTCATTGCAAAACTTGATTATTTTTGCGGATCCCCATTTTGGATTTTCTGCTTTTAATTTGCAAATGGACACTACCTTTGCATAGTCCCTCCAAAACGCTTCTGGATTAGGGTCCTTTGAAACTGGTTTCTTCTTTTCCTTTGCTAATACAAAACCTTCATCTGGAATGGTGTTCATGGGTTCCGCCATCTTCAAATTCGGCGGCGGCGATGACGTCATATGGCGTTATTTGATTGTGACGTTATATGTAACTCTTTTTCCCGGAAAAATAGGCAATTTCAAAATCTGCCATAGATTTGGAGAAAACAAAAACTGCCATAGATTTGAGACGGCATTACGTCATATTTACCATAGATTAGGAATCCGCCATAGATTTGGAACCCGCCATAGATTTGAGTCCTACATATATTTGTTTGTTTTTATAGAGATTAAGATTATAAAACAATGTTGACTGCTTTCCCCCTATTTTTGACATTTTAACCTATAATGTCTTGTCTGTTTTGTTCACACATCGTTGTCAATATAATGGAATTTTATGCGACTGTCATACAAGTGAGAGGTTTAGCTAGCCATAAAACCAGGTTTAATCCACCATTTTCTAAATAAGAAAATGCCTATACCAAGTCAGGAATATGACAGTTGTTATCCATTCGTTTGAAATGTTTGAGCTTTTGATTTTGCCATTTGATTACGGACTTTCCGTTTTGAATTTTCCTCGGAGTTCGGTATTTTTGTTATTTATCTTTTTACTCATCCGTCTACAAAAGGAATAAAAACATAATAATTGACAAGAAATGTAGACTGTGTTAATCACACAATTTCAATGATGACATCACTAATAATGTAAATAATTTCTGCTTATTCTTCATATCAATTTACATATTTACAGATTATTAACAAGAAGCTCCCAAGAGCCTAATTCCTTCACCTGGAAAAAACATGCCATTTTGATATTCATTTTTTTGCCTTTATTGAAATCAGTTGTGTCGCTTAGGGGTTGATGATAACTTGTAATGTCTAAAATTTTTGACCCCCCCAAAAAAACCCAAATTAGAAAAATATCATCGTTCAGGGGAACTAACTTTTATAATGGGTGAGTTAATAATTTGAGTTAAAATGACTGACTTTTTGTTTGATATCATTACGCTGGACCGTTTGCTTTTAGTTTTTTTCTCTATCAATGTTAAATTGGAGAAGAACTGCTAAAATAGGAAAGGTCATCTTTCAGGGTCATTTGACTATTTCAACCATGTTGACTTATAGGTAGATCTTATTTTGCTGAACATTTCAACTACATATTGTTACACTCTATCTACCTTTGTTTCTGCAAACATTTCAAAGACTGGGTAAAAATAGTAATTCCGGTGCAACAACTCGTGTAAGCGGTCAATTGACAGTTTTGGCAAATTACTATGTCTTTTTTTTAACTTATGAGTTTGATTATCTCTTTGGCACCTTTCGCTTCTATCTTTTACTCAGATGTAGATGTTGTTATGCTTAACAATTTTGCTTTTTCATATTGTCTTTCCATCTATCATAGTTTCTGCATAAATCGCAAAAATGAGTTAAAATAGTCTTTTTAAGGGCAATAACTCCTATAAGCGGTCTTTGACTATTCGTCCATGTATATTTATTTCTGGATCAGCATTTTTACAGTCGAAAGATTCTGTTTGATTTCCTTAAAAATGCAAAAAGGGAACAAATTGTCTTCTAAAGGCATAACCCATATAAGTGGTCATTTGACAATTTTGCAAGTTGTCTTATAAAACAATTTTACTATTCTTGTCATTTTAACAGTTAATTTTTTATTTTTTTTATTTCTAACTACCAATTATTGTTGCAAAAACTACGAATTTGGCAAAACAAACCCTGACATTTCAGGGGAAATACCTTCAAATTTTTTTTCTGAAAATTCCTTGAAATGTTGATCCTCTAAACCCGTGTCAGATTTGTTCTATCCTATCTGCTTTAGTTTTTGAGAAATGAGCCAAAAAAAAACAAATTGTACCCAATGATCTATTTTAGTAACTTTGAACATATTTGTTGATGGATTAAATTCCCGGATACAATTCTTAAACTAAATTCCCGGATACAATTCTTAAACTAAATTCCCGGATACAATTCTTAAACTAAATTCCCAAGGAACATTCAGGGAAAGTTTGGTTACATGTGGACCTTATGGGTTCAGAGAAGAAGATGTTTTTAAATTGCTTTGAAGGACGGACTCAAAGATTGCAAAACCTCATCTGGCCTAAAAAGGCTTACGTGGCCTTTTAGGCCAGGTGAGATAAAAAGACATAATTAAATACATATCTTTCAAACAATGTTTGAAGAGAATGTTTTATAATAAAGAACACGTGATTCCTTTAAAAATTAAATATATTAGGGTTGGTTTGTGTTTCAGGAAATGATAATGTACATTTCATTTCTGCTAATGGTGACCATAATCTTAGTGTGTATGTAGAAGACTTCAATGGCCTCCACGCTTATGCCAACTATTCACACTTTGCAATTGGTGATGAGAGTACTAAGTATCTTCTAGATATAAATGGATATTTTGGTGATGCAGGTAAAAACAACATGAACTATAATCGGGTGTAACTATAAGAACAATATTTTGAATTGGACCTAGATAATTTACTTTGCCTCGTCCATGTATACCCTTTTTACACTAATGCATAAATTTTGTTTGCCCAGGACGACATTCATACATACTTTAACAAATGTGTTTTACATTTTGCACATGTAATATCTGCTTGTCAAAAAAATTAATTAAAGACAAACCTGTTAGTACTAACTTAACTATTGCAACTTTTGTCACTCATGGTGTTTTTGATGTTTCAATAGTGCATATAAAATACATCAATTTTTCTAATATTTGAAATTAACAGATGAACAAAATAATTCACATAAAAACCAGAGCTGTAATGATCAAATCAATTAAGTGCAACACATTTCGTCATTGGTTCGATACATCACCTTTTATTCAGAGTTATGTTTGAGCAGGCATCAATTTTAAGCATTATTTGATGTTGGTGGTCTATTTCTTATCAGTTATTGGTATTATTCTATCCAGGTTTATGGCACTTTTTTTTATATATTTAGTCTTTATTTTCTTGAAAATATATTCTACCACTTAAGAAAAGTTCGAAATGGTTTAGTTCGAAATCCAAACGTCCAGTTTGACATGTCAAATTGATAGATATAGATCAGCCTAAGGTAATACAATACTGTTTAACTTATTTTATATGAAATCTAGTTTTCAGAAATTGTAATGCTAAACAAAAATGAAAATGGGTACTAGCTTTTGCAAACATATTTTTTAAGCACTGCCTTGACATATCTGGATTCAAATGATAAATTATCTATTCGTATTAAAAATGAGGTTGTATATCCGTCAGGCAAAGTTAACCTTACACCATAAATTTCGGCTATTATGATGTTATATTTAAATCCAAACTAAATTGTATCTTATCAATTCTATTTTTCTTTAAGACTCTTTTTTCGTTCGTTTTACAGGTGATGGATTATCTGATGGTAATGCCATGAAATTTAGCACGAAAAATTCAGATAATGATATTTCATCCAGTCATTGTGCTGTTGACAGGCATGCTGGTTGGTGGTTCAGAAATTGTGATTATGCCAATTTAAATGGGAAATATAATGACACAAATAGTGCTGGTAACTACTGGTATCGATGGAAGCAAAATACAAAGCCACTAAAAAAGTCTATCATGATGATTAAAAGAAAATAAGATAACAATGTTATGATTTTTTTTCCTATCCTAGTTTCCTATTTTGTTAGTCATTCCAAGTCTGTTTGGTGTTTTTTGCTAATTGCATGTTTTTGCTTGTTTTTGTGATTTGGCTTTATTGGTTTTACTCGAATTAATTGATATCTACTTGTTTGTTGTATGTACAATGCATTTCGCGTAGTTTTCTCATTTAACTTTAAGTATTTACCAAGATTGTTTAGTTCTCAAAACACAGATACTTTAATGCTTCTAAGCCACATCTGCGAAAACGTACCAATATATAAAATGTTAATAAATAGTTTGCAATGGACTTGTGTCAAAACAGCTTTATAAGTAATAAGGTATTTCTTTAATATGTTGTCAAACCCGTGAGATTTGTCTTGTTTCAGTTGTCATATTCCATTCTCAGTGAACGGAACATCTAATTCTTCGAACACATTTTGTACTGGCTCGTTTGGGTCTTCGTTTTCGTTATGCGTATTTCCGGACACTAAAATTTTTTTCTAGTTGATTCTATGCAACCAATTCAACATATTTCCTTGTCGGTTTTACCCTGTCTATCTCTGTTTGTTTGTATTTTTGTTTAGCAATGTTCAACTTAATTTTAATTCAATTGTCATTTTTTCGGTTTTCATTAAAAACTTTTAGCGCTGATTTATATTGTCTACGTAAATTTTTACAGTTCTCTGTCATCCATGGTTTGTCAATTCTAAATACTGACTGCCACTAGATATATTATTGTCAACATAACACTGTTCACATATTGCAATCAAAATTTTATTTGATTCGTCGACACGTTGTTTACATTCATCGATATTGTTCTTGTGTTCCGTCAAGTTTAATAATAGATTATCAAACTTTTGAGAGTTTACCAATAATTCACTCATGATGTCATCCTTGAACACATAACATTTATCATTCTCAGTTTTAAAACCCTTCATGTGAATTTCAATCTTGAATGGAACAGAAGGTCTATATTACATTTCTATAGTAAACATTTTTATCTGGAGGCATATTAATTGCAAATACATATAAATTTTTGCTATTCGGCATTATCAAATTTAGACCAAATCATACAATCTGCTTCACATTTCAGGATTTCAATATATTGACTCAACCTTTTCTTAAAGAATATTACTTTACATCCGTCTTTACAGATTGCTCTAGACAGATAATTTTTGCTATGACCCTTTAAAGAACATATACTAATAACATCTTTCCCTGAATCAAGCGAATTTTCATCACACTCTGCTTCGTCCTCGCCTTCCCACAAATCTCCGTCAACGTACAATTTGTCACCCACAATATATGCCGTTTTCTTCTTTTTCCGCTCTTTTAACATTATAGGTACAAGTTTTCTGCTTCGTTCAACAATTTCACGAGGGTAATGAGGGCTAATACCAAATTTTGTGTCCTTTAACCTTCTCGATGCATGTTTTACTTTCGATCTATCTGACATGAAGCAAAAATTTCATCACTCTTGGCCTCGGTTTTTCTGCCCTATCTTTAAGTACCCCTAGACAGTACGCCTTTTCAATTTTAAAGCTTTTTGAAAATTCAAATTTCATTTCCTTCTCCAAAAAGTTCAAAATGTTTCCATACAGTTTTCTTTTTTTTGGTCGTGACCCCCTATCGCCTGACCAGCCTCCTAACTTTCTGTTACTTTATTTTCCTCTTTATCCTCAACATTTGGCTGTTCGTCATTTGAGAAAAAACAACAAGTTATATTGTAAACTTCCCGTTTCAATGTGTATTACCTTGTTATTTAAGCTTTTTGTTGACTCAATTCCAATAGTTAGTGTACAATGTATCTATGCGTTCTATCAATGCTTAATATTCATTGTGCACGTCCGATAGGAATTGGGCGCTTTGTTCAAGCGTATAAAGTCTCTGTTTACAGGCACCGACTTCTGAATCTACAGATCTGAACTTTTTATCAATTATTTCTAAGCCTTTCTCAATTCGACCTAGTTTTGTTAGTTTCATTTCTACATTTGATAGCTTCTATGAAAATGTTCTCTCAGGGACATTTCAATGTTTGGTGAAATCAGAGGTGGTATAAAAAAGTAAAATAAAAAAAATACATAACTCCAGGGAAAATTCAAAACAGAAAGACCCTGAAAAAATGGCAAAATCAAACGCCCAAACACATCAAACGAATGGGAAACAACTGTCATTTTCACATTAAAGGGGGCATAGATTGTGTAGGAAAAGACGAAAAGTTTTGCAGATAGTTCATATTTGGCGTACTGGCTATAGTTGTGTATTGACTAGAACTATTCATCTCAAAGTTTACGTTATTGTAATTACAAGTACTTGAATTGTGTTCACTTCTATTTAAATGTACCCTGTTTTTTGCTTGTGAACAAAACCTGTCATCACTAAAACTGCGTTGATCCGACGATGAAGAATCGCTAAGATATTTTTTGGCTCTGTTCGGACGTTCCTTTTTTCGCTTTGGCATCACTGTAAACCATTCTTATAATGCAAAAAGCACTATAGGCTTTAGCCTGAAAATTTTCGCTGTCAAGGTCTTTTGCATCCTCAACAATTGACACTCCCGAACATTGTGGACAAGAATAGATTTTAAGACAAAAGTCTTTGTTTTGTTGATGTTATATTGCTGGTCATGTTTTTTTGTTTACAGTTTCCCTATATCTTTAGTTTTTCCTAAATGACAAAAAAGGGTATAAAAATCGTCATGTAAGATAAATCACTCCTATATGAATCCGGGTCCGTTCGCCCTGATTCATGTTCGCCCTAATACCTGTTCGCCCTAATACATGTTAGCCCTGGGACCGTTCGCCTTAATACCTGCTCGCCCTGGGTCTGTTCGCCCTGATTTTTATTTTATTATGTTGTATTGTTGTATAATGTATATATTTGAATATGTTAAAGTTTGTATACAATTTCGCCGAATATTTATGTTATATTGCTGCTACCAGAAAATAAGTTTCTGCGATTTCCAGGAATACAAGGTATTCAATATAAAACAACTGAAGACTAAATTATCTGTATGTATTTATCTTTATTGATACATTTTAACAATATCAAAACATTCATTAACAGTTACTACAAGATCAATCTCGAACTGCACATCACACACATTTATTTCCTAAAATGTATTTTAAAGAGCACTAAATTGAATTACTATAACATGTATAAGTGAATTACTATAAAAAAAATATACAAAAAAAGACACAATCACACAGCTCTACATTTATCTTGTTTATACACCATGATTTACTAAATATCTTGAACTTAGTCCTAACACTACAATTTTAAAGAGCACTAAAACATGCAATACTTAAAAAACACAATCACACATCCATTCACTCTACATTGATGCATCATGATTTTTTTAAAAAAAACAGCACAAATACAGTCATGATATTCAATGTTCACAAAAAAAGTGTTCAGAGTTCATAAAGAAGTCTTTCTGTTCAGTGCAGCGGCTGAACGTTGTCCAGTGGGTTGTCGCTTGGCTTGTACAGTTTGGCAATGAACTTCAGGAAGTGGGTTTTTGTAATAATACTGTCCAGGCCAGGTACTGGTCTCAGGCCATGTAAATTTTTCTGCTCCAGGATGGTGTACTTTCTGTGGATGTCCCTCTATAGGTCGTCTGCACGGACACTGTAGTCGACGACTTCGGCTTCTGTCCTTAGGTCTGGAAAAGCACATAGAAAGGAACATTAAATGTAGTTATCTATAAATATTTCGGATACCAGATATCCTTAATCAATATGATTATGATGTAAAATGAATCATATCTATCTATTCTGATTTAACTTTAACAATCTTTAAATTCATACAATTAAAACCGAACACAACAACGCTTGTACAATTCTAAAATTTAAAAAATCACGTAGGTTAGGTATTAGGTTAAGTAGACTTGCGTGTCCATGGGTTCTGGAATACACAACCCTTGATGTTGACACCAGGAAAAACGCGTATGATACCTAGCCAAGCACCTGCAATTAAACCAGTTGAATTAAAATATATATAAAATGACTAGTTCTATCAATTTAAATCATATATTCATTTACTACACATATATATGTGTACAAAACAGCACCAATATTAAAAAAAGGTTACATTAAATGTAGTTATCTATAAATATTTCGGATACCAGATATCCTTAATCAGTATGATTATGATGTAAAATGAATCATATCTATCTATTCTGATTTAACTTTAACAATCTTTAAATTCATACAATTAAAACCGAACACAACAACGCTTGTACAATTCTAAAATTTCAAAAATCACGTAGGTTAGGTATTAGGTTAAGTAGACTTACGTGTCCATGAGTTCTGGTTGATTATCAGCATTACGGTGGCCTATGTCGAAAGTACCATCTAGAGCATTTGGCTGATCAGGCTGGAGTGCTGCTTCTGGCTCTAGTGTTGGCACTACTACTGACTCTGGTGCTGCAGCTGGAGCTGGCTCGACTGCTGGCTCTGGTGCTGGCTCATCTACTGGCTCTGGTGCTGGCTCATCTATTGGCTCTGGCGCTGGTGCTGGCCAGTTGATCTGCTTAAAGGGTGCGCAAATGAACTGTAGGTCAGTGCCATGTCTGACGTCTTTTTACGCTTGCAGTGTTATACCTAAAATTCAATTATATTGCATTAAATTATAGCATAATAAAGAATAATTCTCAAATTTGATTTTCAGACACAGTTTCACATCAATTTTTAACAATGAAATATCGGTTTGCACATGATATAATACTTTTTTAGCAATTCATATGACAACTTAAATTTATTATCAATGAGATGTCTCGGGAAGATAAGTTTTATTTATGTTTTATAACGACAACGCTTGTTATTCTAATCATTTTTATGCCAATAAAAATAAGTATTTTTACAGTCTCTGTTAACTCTATTTAAACTGACTCTTTCATGATGACATTTATGACAATATTTTCTATTTATAAATTGATACACTTACCAGTGCCACATAATCTATCACATGCATCGCAAGATACTGCATGTTGACGA